ACTCTAAACTGCAGTTATGACAGCTCTTCCTATGGTTCTAAGCTGCGGTTGCGACAGCCCTCCATATCACTCTAAACTACAGTTATGACAGCTCTTCCTATGGTTCTAAGCTGCGGTTACGACAGCCCTCCATATCACTCTAAACTACAGTTATGACAGCTCTTCCTATGGTTCTAAGCTGCGGTTACGACAGCTCTCCCGTTTCTTCTAAAATGTGATTATAACAGCCCTCCTTTTCATTCTAAACAGTGATTATGAAAGCCCTCCCTATGATGTTAAATTGTAATTATGTCAATCCTCCCTGCCTTTCATTGTAAATTGTGATTATTACAGGTCTTTCTTTCACTCTAAACTGTGATTATGACAGTCCACCTTTGATTCTGAATTATGATTACAACAGCTCTCCCTTAGATTCTAAACTATTATTAAGACAGTCCCCTTTGATCCTGAACTATGATAATAACATTCCTCTCTTAGATTCTAAACTATTATTAAGACAGTCCCCCTTTAATCCTGAACTATGATAATAACATTCCTCTCTTAGATTCTAAACTATTATTAAGACAGTCCCCTTTGATCCTGAACTATGATAATAACATTCCTCCCTTACATTCTAAACTATTATTAAGACAGCCTCCCCCCCCCCTCTCTTTGATTCTGAACCATGATTATGGCAGTCCTCTCTGTGGTTTTTAACAATTGGTATAACGGCCCTTCCTTTGATTTTGAACAGTGACTATAAAAGTCCTCCATTAATTCTAAAGCGTGATTATGGCAGTCCTCTAAATAAATACAGTATGTATTCTTTGTAATAAGAAATTAACAGGGAAACCTGAAATTCCTCTTAAGTTTATCTTATTCTTGAGCGTTGACTTAAAACCTATTATTATATTTTAATGTTTAAATAAAGAATAGTTTAGGATATTGTTGATTTATACAACTCTGTTGAATATAGTTAACACTATTCAAGGAATTTAATACTTGGTTTGCAGAGCTTTGATCTGGAACTCAGACCATAGCCATTACAATTAAGAACAAAAGTTATATATCGAGCTTCTTCAAGCAACTTTGCACTTTTTTTTTCTAAACAGGAGGAATTTTAATCAGTTAGGATTTCAAAGTACAGAATAAAAACTGTTTTAATTTTTACTGTAAACCAGAAGAAGTATTCTGCACTTTGTTTTAGTAACAGAATATCAAGCTAGAAAAAATAAAATCACTTGTAGTTCACTGACCTGAACTTAATTCCTTCATGAAAGAAGTACTCTGATGATGTTATTTTCTCTTTAAGATTGTTTGTTTGTTTTGTAATTAAGCACAAAGCTACACAATGGGCTATCTGTGCTCTGCCCACCACAAGTATCGAAACCAGGATTCTAGCGTTGTAAGTCGCAGACATACCGCTGTGCCACTGGGGCTTCTCTTTATGAGCATCCAAAGTTTACCAGTTAGTAGAATAGTTTACAGAATAAGTCGACGTCATTGTATCTCACCTTCTAGCAGTCATTGGATACAGATTTCTTCTCAAGATTACATTAAAGCACGTGGTTATTGCATTCCGTATTCTATATGTACGTAAAAATTCTCACACACAAATTAGTTGTTATGAATATAAAATGGCATGTAATATTCGTTTCTTGTCGTTGTTTTTAAGAAAAAAAATAGGAAAAGACTCATTATGACAAACGTTTCCTCGTTTTGTTTAACGAACGACGGTATGTTTCATATGTTGATAATAAATTTATAAATATTTTTGATAATTACACATTTATGGTAACCAAAGTGTTCAAAGTCACTTTAAATGTTATGTAACAGTGACGTCATCAAGATGGCAGAGAAAGCGTGCCAATGCAGTACGTGTTTAAAATATTTTGTCACAATGCACATGTTTAGGCTGCACAATTGTTCTAGAAGTGTTACAGAAGGACGAAACTAATTTTAAACGAGTACGTTTGAAGGATATCAACTATATTCTTCATAAAATTGTAAAAAATCATCATCCAAACACCTGTTTCATCATCAAACTCATCTTCGAACAAAAAAAAAAGGCGGTTAATGACTTCTTCGCCATATTGGAAATCCTAATTTCCTGTTCCGGTTCATGCGATTCATCTACTGGAAAAGAACATCCATAGCACGTTCTGGACAGATGAATTGAGCATGCCCTACGACAAACAATAGAACATTTCTTGATACGAACATTTCCTTCGGTGAACAAGGGAGTTAGATGAAATCCTCCAGCGTCCTTTTCTGCCTTCTTATTGGTGATTACATTTTTAGTGTGTGTTTTTTGTTTATGTGCACGTCAATCAAAAACAGTTGTTAGTTATTATATACTATAATACTGGGTTGATATTGTTTAGTAGCCGAATTCATCTGTGTTTATAAAGTGTTTATCACAGTCTCTGAACTATGCTAACATTTAACTTTGGAAGTGCATCAGTTAAACTAACCATCTTAAGCATAACAAATGTGGTTGTTCAAGAGAATTTCCTTAAGTCCAACATTGAGTCTCAATTCAGTGTAAATTAGGTGAATACTTATACATTTTTTATCACACTAATGAAGTTCCAAAAATTCATTTTATTATTGTTGTATTTACGAAGATTATTTACGTAATAAAGAACAAGTGTCTATTTCGTTCACGTAGCATTACTTCACAGTTAGGTATTCTACGATTCTTTAAACTTAGTGTGTCAGTATTTCAAAAGTAAAATTGCCATTTAATGACTGTAACTTATTTATGTTGACTTTAAACTCTTGGAACCCGTAAATCTTCACTTATCTCCAACACGGAAGAGGCAATTAACATCAGTTAAGTACATTGCATCTAATTACAAGAATCAGCGATTTAGTTGTTATAAACTGAAAAAAAAGTACAAACTACGAAGAAGCAGATATACATCTATTGCTACTTTCAGGAAATGAACAAAATTACAGATAAAATGATGCGACTTAGATTTTGGAAACTAAAAAAGAAATAACTATGAAGAAATGAAGGTACTTCTTTTTTGCTACTTTCCTGCAAGGAGTAACAGAAAATCTAAAACATCATGTTGTGTAAAACGTCATGTTGTTTCAGTTTTGGTTAAATGGAAGAATTACTGTTGCTCACAAGAAAGTTCGAGAGTTCTTAATACGTATTTATTTTAAAAACATAAATTATTATAATAGTAATCTACTTTCCTTAATTAATCACTTCTTGGCATTTAATTACAGATTAATTGAGAAATGGCAAAATGTCGATAAAACCTATATACGTACTTTTTCGTTTTACATTTTTGTATCTAACATTATATCTAAACCAAATAAAAAACAATGTTAAGACGTTGGTTTGAAGATGTTCTTTTCTTCACATTCCTCTTAATGAGCTCTGTGAAGGTTTTAAATCAAAGGAATTTTCACTGTCATAAAGCTACATAATGAATTTTCTGCGTTCTGTTAACTGTGGGAAATCGAACCACGGATTTGAACGTTGTAAATCCTCAAACTTACTGCTGACCCAGCAGGGGAACAAATCAGAGGTATGTAAAATCAGCATTTAAAACCTATCTTTTTTCTGTCACAAGACGACCTCCAGTTCAGCGGTGAGTTTACGGATTTACAATGCTACAAATCAGCGGTTCGATTACCTGTAGTGGACAAAGCGCAAATAGACTATTGTGCACTAAAACAAACAAACGAAATGCCACAAGACGCTGTTTAGGAGGCCTTTCGTTCAATACTATAATTCGTCTTCTGTACTGTGCTCAGTGGTAGCCAAAAGTCTACTTCAAGTAATACTTGTACTCGGTATAAGAAACTTAATTTTGTGATGAAAAACACCTTTTCTGGTGAAGCAGTAAAGCTTTAAAAATCTAGAGTTCAACATGATTTTTGTCAGAATTGTTAGGCTTAAAGAACTATAATTCACCAAGTTAGGCACTTACCACCTTAACGGGAAACTATAATACAATATTAAAACCCTAAATGCAATTGATAAAAAGGTCTATAATACCTGTCATATGCGTATGCAGTTTTGATCACCTTATAACTATTAAAGTTTACATGTGGCGTTAAGGAGAAAGATAATTAGACACAAATGTTCAGGTATGCTAACAAACACGAAGCCACACAGATCAAAATAGCTACACTAAATAAACTTTGATAAATATAATGATTAAACACCATATATCTAATTAGTAAAAAAAAAGCAGAAAATGAGGCATAATGGTTCAGAGAGTATTTTGTTAATTACTTTTATCACACTTCCCGCCACGTTTTCAGAACATTTTTTGTTGTTGTTGTTGTTGTTGTTTTTTTGGAACTATAAATCAAAATAGATATTCTAAATATATTTTTGTTATCCTCAGAAATATTAATGAATTAATATATTATGAAAAATATTCCATATTTGTTTTTTCAATAAGGGCTCATGAATAGATACATCGAGAAAATGCATTTCTACATTGATTTACACAATCATTGTACTATGTACAGTCTGTTTTTTTGTACTGTTTTGTTTTAGCATCGAGCCCCAGATTCCAGTGTTATAAGCCCTCAAGCATACCACTGAGCTAGTATACATATACAGATATTCAAAACAAATAAAACCAAAAATCCCATTAGGACCCGTTCAAGCAGAATAATATGTTGTTTTTTTAATTATTCTCGTTTCTAGTTTTTAGTAGCGGAATAAGTAAACATATTTCTTACCTGAGCAGTACAGAAAAACTATAAATATCGTAACGCTGCTTATGGACCAAATCATGACTAATATAGTTGGCTGATGTCAAATATTGGAAGTTTTCCCTTTACTGTGTATGTCGCGGAAGCCACACGCACGTCGTTCATGTCCCTATCGGAAATTTGGTAGAAGTGGATCAGTGTAAGTACTTCAAAGACAAGGATTCAAGTAGAGACAGAAATTTTGCTTCCTAACGGCCAATCGGTACTTCCGTTACTTACAAGCTACGTCACTGTGCTTGACATGCCTTTCAATATCGCATTTTCTCTCGTGCGCGCGCTCTCTCGCTTGGTTTTCTCTGCAGCTACTTTTCATGCACAAAAAACTTGTCGACGAGCTTGCTTAATAAGAAATGACAATGTCTAATGGGACATGAATAATGGATGAAGCAACAACGGTCCGTGTGTCTGTGATGACAAAAAAAAAAGGCAAATTGAAAGGATCTCGGAAATGTTCTGTATTATCAGACTCTAGCAGGAGTTGATAATGTTGATTAGATTTCCTTCTAAGGAATGAAGCGCGAATCTTTGCTTAATATGGTAATTTAATTCAAGTGCCATTCCTCAATTTCCATTTGTAGTTCGCTTTTTATTTTCTCCAATCTTTGACTTCAAAATAAAACAATCTGAAAGATCATGAAGAAAGATGCATTATATTGTGATAATTCCAGTACTCATAGCTATGACTTATTTTATAACTGTTTATTGGAAATTAAGTTATTCTGTGGCTGTATAAACGTAGGACATAACGTACCTCGCGTTTATCAATGAAACAGGCAAATATACATTGTCATTTATCTATTTCCTTTGTGTACTTATGTACCTGTATGTTTATATTTTGTCCAATTATTAACGTATTTAAACATCTGTGTTTTTATTTGCCCCTCTTAATTTATCAATATTTTTCTATTTGTTCATATTAATTTATTGCTTTAAATCTCGGTCTCTTGGCTTATTTTTGTGCTTAGCATGTATATCTGTATCGTTGTATCTATGTGCGTTTATCTATTTACATTTCAATGTTATGTGGAACCTTCTTGAAATATATTTCATCGGTTAAAAACAAATAATAAGAATAAGTAGGATTTTTCATTTTTGTCGAAGATGACAGAAGCAAGGAATTGAGTTGTGAAAGCCAATTTATCGAGACGACATGTACTTGGTCACACCAAAGGACCCAACTACTCTCGTTCTAATGGATTTTTTTTTCACTTTTGGTTGACATCCAGTGGATATCCAGTTACATCTTTCCAACAATCTAGTGGAAATTTTGATGATAATTTAACTAGTCACAGGTCTTTTAGTTACTAGCAATATCGTTACCTTCCATTTTTTTACTGCAATAGATCTTTTCATAAGGAAATGATTTTGTTGCACTAAAATAGGAACTTGGAATGGGGTTTATGATTATCCATCGAGATTAGTACAAACATGTTTTTGTTGCATCTTATTCCTATACTTTATAGTTTCGAATAATATAACAAACTCAAATTACGATTTTTTATAGTTTACTCATTTTTTTTACATAAAACAAATAATAAAGAAACTAAATAGAGAAGAATTTGATGACAGAGCGTGAGATTATGTCGGGTGCTGAATAATCAGAAAAAAAAAATCAGCCATAATGATCGCTAGAAGCTAATCATGGAAACAAAATCCAATCAATTTTAGATCATACGAAACATCTACATTCCGAGGCTGTGAGTATTTTTTTTTAAGATAAAGAAATAAATAAATTCTATCACTACGCTATAAGTAACAAAGAATATCAAGTCACATTTTAAAATGATATACCATGAAACGTATGAAGATAGACAACGAGATACATATGAATGAGTGGATGAATACCTATAAGGCAGGTTTATTCTACAAGTCACAGCTTCATATATTCTAGTATTTTTCGTTTTAGAATTTTCGCGCAAAGCTACATAGGGTTACCTGCGCACCACCCTCCGTAATTTTGAACTGAAAGATTACACAGGCCTGCGATGGTTTTATTGTCTTGAAATACTTACGTTATACAGTAATTCCTGTACACTGAATCCGAAAATGATATCCATTTTTCTCCATCACATACAGATTTTTCACAAAACGTAATAACACAACACATAAAAAGAAAGACCACGCCACATAGTTTTGAGACTAAAAGACGTATATTTCACAAAAAGCGCAGCGGTATGTCTGCAGACTTATACTACTAGGTTTCGATACCCGTGGTGGGCAGAGCACAGATAGCCCTTTGTGTAGTTTTGTGTTTAATAACAAACAACAACATTTTCACACAAAAAATCAGGATAAATGATGATGCATATTCGTTTAACATCAATGTTCTTCTCTTTTCATCAGTTTGTATTTTTGTTAAAAAGCATAATAATGAAAAACTAACAGAGACCCGCAAAACATTTCCGGCCAAATTAGTATCTTTATCGTAACAGTACTTCTTTAAATATAACATTTCTATCACAATACAAACGAATTTCAATCGTAGACAATGAAATGTGTAAATCCACTTGTATATAGGTCGTACTTTATAAAACTTTAACTTATGTTAGGCCTAAGTTCGATAAAGAGATAAATTAACACTGTAACCAGTGTACTTTTTTTTTTACTTTAGTTTAGTTAGTACTAAACTTTTCTGTACTTAATACTATCGATAAATAAACTTATAATGTTATTCTACTACCTAACTTCAAACCTTTTTTAAAACTTTGATAACTTTTTAATATTCCGTTGTACAAAATGGTTAGTGAAGTATATTTACATTACCCTTTTGTTGTCATTTCTTGTTTCATACAGCAATTGTAGCGACTTGATCATTGAGCTTTGTAGCTCTTTGCCGCAGGCAGACTGTTTGTTGTCGAGTGAATAATGCGCATGCGCGGTTTTTTTTTTTGGGGGGGGGAACATTCTAACTACGCATGCTTATGCAGCAGGTTCTCGGTCGGAAAGCGTAACGGTCGTACATACAAACAAGCAGAGTAATAGTATAGATGTTCATTGTGGTAAACAAAATAATAATTTGATCTAAGTAACACTTTTTTCTTCCCTATTTGTAAAAAATCCTTACGTGATAGTAAAAAAATTAATATTATTTTCGAAATATGTGTAGCTGAATTATGGACAATCCGTCTTCAAAACCAAAACAAGTTTCGTGAAGTTTAAATTCGCAGGCTTGTATTATAGGAGGAAACAGTTAATTAATAGCATCCATCATCTCCTCTTGGACACCTCTTGTTTGATCGAATAGTGTGATTCGACCGCCACTCTTATAGTCCACCAACAGCCCCAAAGTGCGAAGTGCATTTTGGAGCAACGGGATACGAATTATGAATCTTCAGGTTCACAGTTCGGGCACCTTACCTCTAGACCACCCTCGCGCCATGTTTTAGTGGCCATAGAAAAATACACAAATGCAAATTTTCTACATTTGTTCTTTTATGGTATGCTCGGGCAAAATTGAACGAAAAGGGTCAGGTTCAAAACCAAAACTGCAGGAAGCTTAATGAAATTGTATGCCTAACTGAGTAAATTAAACTCGATAAAAAACACCTTTATTAATAATTAAACAAGGGGTGTGAGTTGGCTCTGTAGTGGAGCTCTGAATTTCTGAGCTGGCAAATCGGGTTCGAATCGGTGCGATACGAACAAATATTTCCCACTATGGGTGCATTATGAGAGTGACAGTGAATCCTTAGCGTGGGTGGTAGATGGTAGGATGCTGCTGACTAGGTGCCTTCACTCTGGTCAGTAGTTCAAAATAACCCTATCGGCCCGGATGCACTTTACTGCTCATGACACAAAGTTTAGTGTCTTACATTCAAAATTTTATAAAACTACTTTATGCTTATGTTATATCAATTAGAATAGCATAACATCTTAGCTAGTAATCCATATTTTAATAGTACAGAAGTTTTAAGGTCTTAATTTTACAAGGAAATATATTGTTACGTCTCTGTTCGTTAGTTAATTTTTCGTAAAAATTCTTTCCGAAGAAACTTTACCGATAGAAGTCCTTTCTTAAATAAAACTGGTTTATTCTTTCTGAATATAACTTTGCGATACACTTAATTCCAACAGTCGCGCTATAACAAACGGTATAATTCTCAACGAACGTCTCACGTGCTCGACTCAACAATACTCAGTTCAATTACACACATTGTTGCCGTCACTTTGTGACGGCTTATATATACAAGAATACCGAATCTAGTAAGCTCTCGAAAAGTCAGGAAGAGACTTGAACGTTCGAGAAGTGCATGAAGTGTTACTAGCGTCACGTGATCTCCGCTGTCGTAACAATATTAAAAAATCCTGAATTTCCACTATTGCAAAGCACGTGACACATTTTGTCTTAGCATGTCATCATCCCTATTTTAACCATCACCCTTCGAAAATGTACGAAATTAAACGTAAAATACTTTATATAAAATCATTATTGCTGGAACAAACCATAATTTATATAGCCTTCAATTTTGTTTGGTTACAGAGCTATCCAATAGAAAATCAGACCCCTCCTGCCACATCCTCTCTTTCACAATTTGTTGATAGTTCTCACTTACGTTTTATTAAATATATATTACCTATAACGAATAGAAAGTCAATGTTTTCATCTATCAAATGGCGTATTGTATAGCGTTGTGTTCTGAACAGATAACTGTCAATTTCGCTCGGAGTAGCAACATTGTTCCCGTGGGAAAGTTAACGACTAGTTTGGATGAATTTGTAACGGCTTTTGTCCCAAAGCTAGAAAACCAGGAACATTTTTAGAAGTAAGTGAATCTGTCTACTTTTTTGCATCTTATTAGTCTATATTCTTTGGTGTATTACTTAATTAAATAAAAACTGTTAAGTGCTTTACTATAATCAATAAAAAATCAGGCTTAACTCTCCTCGGCAATCGAGGGCAAGAAAAAAGA